ATTTTACACGAATTGAACTGGCTGCTATTTATCAGAGGCAATACAGTATTGTTGCAAAGGTTTATGGATAGGATTAGCAAACATGTGGCTAAATATAAAAACAATCTTAGTATGAATTATTAACATTTAAAAAACTAGTTTTTATTGTTTGGAGATAAAAATATTTATTAGTAAAATATTATAAATACAGATGAAAGCGATTACCTGGACAATTATTTAATGGCCAAGTATTTACAGGGAGCTGTATGGAGGCTAATGAATGAATATGACAAAGCAAGAAAATGCATGCAGGTCATTGTTGAAAAGTAGGTTTTGTTCAATTATTACAAATTATATAACCAGGACAATATAACAGTTATATTATAACTTATGATTATAATTACCATTAAGTGACGGACGTATTGGTCGCGAGTTCTCACTACCAGCTCAGGCGGCACTTGAAATGGGTTTAATTGAATACGAGTTGAAAAACAACGACAAAGCCATTGAATTACTCAACAAATGTATTAATGAGTACTCGGGTTATCTCAACGAGAACTACGTCCACATCCGGGCGTTTGCGGCGCTCCGGGAGTTAGGCGTCGGTAATGAGAAAGAAGGCGAGGATGAGACCAAACGTATGTTTTATTATAGACATAGATATGACTTAATTTACTCATAAGATATTTGTCTATTTCCTGTATTCAGTGGGGGAATATAAGAAGCAATGGCTAAAAGACATCAAAATTGATCGTAAAAAATATGACCAACTCTTGGAAACTGAAGAGAAACAAGTGTAGTTTACCCTGATAACTTATGAAATTTAATTATAACTATAAATTAATTTAATTATTGTTTGTTGATTGTTAATACAAACAAAAAGTAATTATCATTTTTTGTATACTATGAACTTTTATAATAAATTCTTTTCAGATATATTTTTAAATATTTACTAATATTTACTTTGTCTCAAGGTGTTATTGAGCTGGTATATTTTTAATTATTATAAATTAACAATAAGAATAATATTTAATGTATTATAGTAAATTGTACACAATTTAGAAAAATTTAAGAATTAATGTATATTACAACTTTCGATTAACATATGAAAAGTTTAATTTACTCAACTAGATTTATTTGCCACTTGGTAAACTTATAACTTAACTTTAATTAATTTAGATAATTTATTTAAAAAACATTAGTTATTATAATAACAAGTAATTAAATTAAAACCTGATATTAGAGATTATAGCTATAGTATACATGTCTACGTAAATTATGGTTAATTACAAAATATTAAACATATAAAAGATTTATTAAATATATTATAATTATAGTTTAATCATTTAATGTGAATTACAAGTATATTTAATTAATTTACAAGAAACATGGTCAATATGTTTAGATTCTTACTTAAATATACTTATGATTACTTTGCAGCAGGTAGTCCAAGTGTTTAACTGTATCAGGAATCATAATAATGGGGTTAATAATTAAATTTTTTATTACCATTGATTAATTTAATTATCACATTTCTATCCAAATTGCAAATAAAGTATTAATTAATATTTTCAAATGCATAATATAAATTGCACGTGTTTTAAATTAAAAATAATTAGGCAATTTAAGAATATAATTATAATCAATACTATTATATAATATTACATTTATTACTTTAATTATTACTTATTTAGGTACTTTAAATAATTAACACTCAATGGTATTATTATATAATAGTTACTTAAATGCCTATTAAATATCCATATAAATATTTTAACATATTAGACAACTTCAATATTTTCTTTTCAACGTATCAATGTTTGTCCATGGACCATCATACCATGGTATAAGGTTATCTTAATTATTACTATATATCACTAATATTCATATGTTTTATTTATTTAACATATTGTGTAGAATTCATTAAATACTATACAAAACGAGACAAAAACCCAATCCATGAATGCTTTCCTATATGTGTTTCACGAGTATTGGGTCGACGAGACGGACAACCGGATTAAAGGCTATCCCTTAATCAATGGCGGGCCCACACAGTTCGCCACAATTATGCTCTTATGGCTGGTGTTTG